ACCTAACAGCTGATCCTCAACTGTTCAGAAGAATAATACAATCTTGAAAAAATAATATAGAATCGTGTATTCCTCGAAACGTAGGACATTTTGAACACCTACTCTACCTGATTCAATATTTCATGTTTCTAGTCGAATATCTCTTAATTTTCTACTTAATGATTCTTTGTTCCATCAATGACTTCAGCACAAGAATAATTTTATTGTTTTTGAACCTGAATAAATAGGTAATTGAACTCAATAAAATTTATTTTATACCAGCATCATTACTACTCCATTATTTTAAAATCGAAAACGGAACATAGTATCGAGTTTCACCAAGGGTACCTTTTTGGTGTAAAATTGAATGATTTTCAAGTTCATATCGTATTTGGATTAAAAAATCTAACCTCAAAAAAGTTATGTTTTAAACTACTCGGTACCAACCGTGCCCGCGCCCTCTATGAGAGTCAGATATAAAAACAAATTCATGCGATGTGTCAGATTTCAAGAAACATCCATACAAAATTTCATTACAATGTTGCCAGTAGTTTCGGAACAATCGTGAAAAATGTGTAAAAAAAATAATTTTTCAACACCTTGTATCATGAAAACGGATGCCGTTACGACATTTTTTCACTGAGCGAACCTCACTTATTTTGCAATGTTCTACATACCCTATCTAGGGGGTTAGGGTTTTTTGAAACACCCTGTATGAATAGAAAGAAAATAATAAAAAAATCACTCACCATCTCTAAAAAGGGCAACAACAATACAATACATCCCAGTCTTTTTATTGTTGGAAAATTCCACCAGTACTCACTCACTCACACACACAAATATTGCACTATAATCACTCAATGACACCATACATTTTGATTCCCACGTGTAAACAATATGAGTTATTTTTTCAAATCAATCAGATCGACTGCACGCGATGGAATCTAATACAATACTGCGTCGCCATCGGTATCGGATGCATGATTAACCTCCATAGTGATTCATCAGTTACGTCATCATTCTACCCGAATAATTCTCGAAGAGGAATTGTATTTCTGACTAATCACATCAAAAATAATGTATACGAGGTATGGTTTAGAAAGAAATTCAATATACAGTGTCATCGTTAAAGTCCGTATCATGAGAATATGTTTATTCACGCAAATTTGATGTTCATGAATTGTTTTGTCTCTGAAAATGATTCGAAATTCCGTCAAACTCGAAGTTTGTATGAAAAATAACGAATAAAGTGGGTTGTTTCACAAAATTTCATATCCACTTAACAAATTTCAACAATTTAATTTTTTTTCCTCAATTTTCGGGCCATTATGATTTCTAAAAATTCGAAAAGGACATTCAAAATGTGGAATACTCATCAGCAACAACAAATCCATTGAATATACAAATGTAACATCATTTGAAGAAAAAATTGAATCCTATTGCTGGTATATAAAATTCGAAATGTCATTCCTGTTAGATACCTAAACAGTATTTATTTCTGTCTTTTTCATTCAAATTTACAATATCTTATATCTATTTGGGAAAGTACAAATATTTCACGTTTGAAGCCACTCATGAAATTACAAAATAAAACAATAAAGTGCATTTGCAAAATGAGGTTGATGATTTTTGCAAATCAATAACTGTCGAATTAGACATTAATAATTGGACATTTTCTGTCAGAAAATCACAAATTCAAAAAAACCGTCTTTCGAACGAAAAAGATTTTGAAGTGTCACATGAATAAATTATTAGTAGAAGAAAAATAACTATTGAAAATTCCTGATACATATCGATCTTCGGTTTAAAGTTTCATAAACTATCGTATATTTGTTCACCTGTACCAATTTCAAGTAACTTTCGACCCTTTTCTGTAATCAGCTCAGCAGAAAAATCCGAAAATCGAAAAAAAGGGATTTCCAATACAAAAAGGTACTTATGATGTCATCACACGAAGTTAGTTCACCATGTATATAAGATTATTATAAAAAAAATGGTAAATTGAAATCAGAATTGATTTAGGAGATTTCGGTAGTACTGATAATAGAAATCGTATTTTACTTTATTCAATTTCATGTTTAACCGTTTTATACGAAATTTTATAAGCTCTATACAGGGTTTTCAAATATATGTCGGCACTATTGCGAACTTGGTCATCATTGGAGCTATCAAGTCAGGTAAATGGACAAAGTAGTAGTATTTTGGCGAAAATTAAACAGCAATCTCACATAGCGTTCACGAGTTACGTAAAGAAGTTCAATGTCTTTAAATGGGACACCCAGTATACAATATTCTCAATCAATAGGAAATTAGATTCTGAATTATGTATTGATTTTTAAGCAAGTGCAGTGCATGACACATAATTTTGCACCTTGTTCTATTGATTTCTATTAAATCACTCCGTATATGAATGAAAAGAAAATAATAAAAACATCACTCACCATATCTAAAAAGAACCAAAACAATACAAGACATCCCAGTCTTTTCATTGTTGGGAAATTCCACCAGAACTCACTCATTCACACACAAATATTGCACTATAATTACTCAATGACACCATACATTTTGATTTCCACATGTAAACACTATAAGTTATTTTTTCAAATCAATCAGATCGACTGCACGCGATGAAATCTAATACAATACTGCGTGGTCACCGGTATCCGATGCATGATTCACCACCCTAATGATTTATCAGTTACACGTCATCATTCTAACCGAATAATTCCCGAACAAGAACTAGATCTTTGACTAATCACATCTGAAATAGTGTATATGAGGTGTGGTTTAGAGAGAAATTCAATATACAGTGTCACCGTTAAAGTCCGTATCATGAAATATGTTCAATCAGGCAAATTTGATGTTAATGAATTGTTTTGGCTCTGAAAATAATTCGAAATTTCATCAAACCCGAATTTTGTTTTAAAAAAAAACATCAAAAAAGTGGGTTGTTTTGCAAAATTTTATATCCACTTAACGAATTTCAATAATTTCAATATTTTTCTTGAATTTTTCGGCCATATTGATTTCTAAAAATTCGAAAAGGTCATTCAAAATGTGGAATACTCAGCAGCTGCAAGAATTTTTTCAAACACTTACGGAGGAACAACTTTTTTATTCAATATTTTTCGAAATATCATGATAACCTAATTTGTGCTGCGTTAGGCATGTGTGGTCGATATAAGTCGAGAGTCAGGTGTCCGGCAGTCGCTAGGGGAGTCTTGTGATGTTTATTTATTTATTTATTGAACAAATAACTTCCAGACAGAATAGGCTCTGGTATAAGGAAGTACATGATTATATACCTATAGGTGAACATATCATCATTCAAAATATATCAACAACTGTAAATTGGCAAACAAGGAATAATATTTGTAAAAAAATGGCATGATTAATTTTATCCAGTTCGCTCAGAAATAATCAGTTTTTTTACTTCATTTTTGAATGAACCTATATTTCTGCAATTTTTTATATTTCCAGGTAGTTATTGAATTCAGTTAAGGCTGAACGAGTGAATCTTTTTTGTCCGATTATGGAGCTAGCGGCGTCAAGATGAAACAAGTTATATTGTCTAGTTTCATGATTATGAATTTCAGAATTCCGTATCAAAATAATATTCGACTTCAATTTTTTATTTATGATATTATATGATATTTTAAGAGTTTCAATTCTATATATTTCATCTGAAGAATACGTATTTGTTATTTCAAACAATTGATTGGTTGGTGTATCAAATGAGAGACGATACAATACTTTTAACGATTTACTATATAATGTTGATATTTTATTGAAATTATTTTTTGAACAAGATCCCCAAACATTTATTAAATAGTTGATACGACTCAGTTTATGAGAGTAGAGAATCATGTTTGCAATTGTAATATCAAGTTTGGGACATCTTCTCAATGCACCAATTATTGGAGAATTTTTTTTGTCAGAACATCAATATGTTTGTCCCACTTCAACCTGTCATCAAACCAAATACCAAAATATTTTATCTGGCCATTTTGTTTCAAGAGTACATTTTTTATTTTAAGGTTGAGGTGAATTTTTTGTTAATTTTTTTGGTAAAAAAACATATATTCTGTTTTTTAGTATTTATCGATAAAAGGTTAGAGAAATATTTTCAAGTCTTCATTTATCATATTTTCTAAATTTGAAGGATTTTTGCCATCATATAAAAGTTCTGTATATTTACTCGCTAGACCAATTCCACTGATATTTTGAACATAAAGTAAATATAGTATAGGTCCCAAAACAGAGCCTTGTGGGACACCCTTATTGATTAATAGTTTATTTGACACAGAGTTGGTTGATTTTGTATTGATTGTCCTATTTTCAAGATATGAATTCAAAATATTCCTCACAGTGCCTCTGAGTCCCATTGTTTCTGAGTTTTCTAAAAGTGTTGTATGATCAACTGTGTCAAAAGCCTTTTTGAGATCAATGAAAACAGCTACCGCATAATTTCCTGAATCAAGTCCTGTCTGGATTGATTCTATCACTTGTAATACTGCTGCTTGTGTTCCACTGTTATCAGAGCTATATTTTTTGTTGATGAATTCTACAATGCGTTTCTTGAGAATGTTTTCAAAAATTTTAGAAAATATGCTTATGAAAGCTATTGGTCTATAGTTAGTTAGATCCTGAGCATTTCCATTTTTGTAAATAGCTCTTACTGATGCATGCTTCAATTCGTGTGGGAAACTTTCTTTTATGAAAGATTCATTGATCGATTTTGATATTGGTGTAGCGAAAATGTGTCTCAATTCAAATATGGTCTCGCCCGTTGCTACCCTGGCAACATTATTGATTGACTGTCTGAACCTCCCTGACCTTCTTATGAGAGTCAGGATGCCCATCCTCTCTGATTCGACTAAATTCTCCTGTTGTAGTTTATCCACTCCAAAGATTTCGAATCTCATGCTTCCATACGCCTTACACTCTCCGAGAAAGTGTAGTGACGTTTAAAAAAAGTATCACTTGTGGTATTAAATTTGATGAAAATTGACCTTGTACAGGCGTACCTCTATTTGGACGAGGCGCACAGCGTCGGCGCGATGGGCAAGCGAGGCAGAGGCGTTGTCGACTACTTCGATTGCGATCCGCGAGACATCGACATCCTGATGGGCACGTTCACAAAGAGCTTCGGTGCCGCCGGAGGCTACATCGCAGGGAGTAAGGTGAGGATATCTCAAAATAGTTTTAGAATTTTGAAGATATAAATAAGTTTTATTATGACACAATGGTCGGCGATTTTACGTTCTTCATTTTCCACTAGTTTTTTTGGCAGCTTGTGCAAAATAAGCTGAGGCCAGTCAGCCTCGCGATTCGCTCTAAAGGACTGCCAGGAAAACAAAGTCTTACTTATGAAGGAAGTCCGGCGAAATCTATCTTAAAAGTCCTGAAACTTCGAAGTGCAGTCCGTGTTTCCCTTTTTGGAATGCAATTTCTATAGCTCCAGTTGCTTCATATAGATTTTATGGATAGAAAAGGATTTGCTTAATTCACTAAGGCGAAAGCACTTGACCATTTTCCATTGATCTCTATAACACAAAAATCGAGCAAACACCCTGTTGCTCTTTAATTATTTCATCAGATTTCACGATATGAATAACTGAACCATTGTACCTTCATTTAGACGACTTGGTCAGAGGCTCAATTGAGTAAAAACCTCAGGATTCTAGAAGAGTATAGCGACCGACATCTCCTTCGAGTGAACACTAGTATGACTAAAATATAATTTTTTCCGAAAAGAAACCCGAGATCGAAGGAAACCAGATTCCTGTATAAAACAAAAGAGATTGACATTATCACAGAATTCGCCTATCTTGTTACTTTCTCTCCCTCTTTCCTTTTCAATAAAACGTCCCGATCGACAGTTGAAAAAGCGAAACATGCGACCAGCTCAGTAAAGTAGCAGCTCTGATGAAGAGAACTAAAATGGATTCCTGGGCATCGCGCATGCAACTGCTTGACTCACTAGTTCTTAGCCTCGTAACCAACTGTATACCAGTATGGGGAACAAGGTACATCGACCTTATCGAACGCGTTCAAATCAATTTCTTGAAAAGAATACTTCTTCTCCGCATCAACATTTCAATTGCAATCGTCAGACTGGAAGCTGGACTAGTGAAAATCTACTCACAGTTTTTAAGCACATTATAAATTGGCTCATTCAACACCAACAAATAGGAGATCACCGACTGCCACAGATCTAATTTCTAACTAGAAATCACAACTCGCAAATGCAGAAGAAATGAGAAATATAGTCGACGGAAAAATTGTGTAATTAACGTGTATAATTAAAAGGCGAATAATGATCTAGAACATTAACACGCTTGCTTTGCTCGCACGTTAAAATATTGTCACAAACTGTAGGCGGAGGTTGCCTAAGTTGTGTTCTAGATCCATCAGAGAATGAACTTCAAAAGTGAGAATAATAAATAATACTCCAAAGGGTTTCAACAAAACATAACACAATCAAATGATTGATCGAGTCGAATGATCGAATGATACCTGTGCTGGCTTCCTCGCGCCTATATGTTCAATCTATATTTTGGAAACGTGACAGTGAGGAAGTCAGGTGGATATTCCTGGTTCGTTGAATTCAATGCCTTGCCTGTGTTTATGTTCAACTACTTATCGCAAGTTCGTGGTTAAATAATTTTGGAAATAATAAACACAGACGTGACCGTTCAATGACTTTTTGGAATTTGGTTTCAAATGTCTCCTCATTTGTGACAATATATCGAACATTAACACGCTTGCTTTGCTCGCACGTTGAAATATATCGATCATTGATCGCCCTCCTGAATACCCTAGTTGGTTGAATAATTCTTGCGTGTTTTAGGAGTTCATAACCTTCTTGCGACGCCACAGCTACGCCTCCCGCCACGCGTGGGCCATGTCGCCGCCCGTGGCCGCCCAAATCATCTCAGTATTAAACATCCTCATGGGCAGAGACGGCACCGACGAGGGCCAGAAGAGGATCGAGCGGCTGGCGAGGAACACCCGGTACTTCAGGATGCGGCTCGAGCAGATGGGCGTCATCATACACGGCAACGAGGACTCGCCTGTGGTGCCCATTCTGGTTTATTTGTACTCCAAGATCGCGTGAGTAGTTGTCTGTTGTGCCTCTTTACCATCATAATGTTACGGTAACGTCCGGCCTTGTTTTTTTTTGCAAATACTCAGTAGAACATTTGGAACGATTTATTTGAACATACACGCTACATGATACAGAGTTAAAATCATTACGTTTGGTTCTAATACAACTCAAAAAACACCTCCAACTGACTTCTGAATACTAATTCCATCGGGCCACTTGCCGCATTTGTATCCGACCTGAATTAGTTCTAGTATTTTCATTGCGAGATACTTCGAGTATTCGCCGGTCGTACCCATTTTGATTTATTTGTACTCCCAGATCGCGTGAGTAGTTGTTCGGGTGGCTCTTTACCTTTATAATGTTATGATAAAGTTCGAGTTCAGTTTTTTGTAAACATTCAGTAGAAAACTTGAAACGATGTATTCAAACACAAACACTACACGATACAGAATTACAATAATTACGTCTCTTTCTAATACAACTCAATAAACCTCCAACTGACTTCTGAATGCTAAGTCCATCGGGCCACCTGCCGCAATTTGTATCTGACCTAAGTTAGTTGTAGTATTTTCATTGCGAGATCCTTCGGAAAATTTCTTCCATATTCAGGATGTGGCAACGAGGATTCGGCGGTCATGCCCATTTTGTCTTATTTGTACTCCAAGATCACGTGAGTAGTTGTCCATTGTGCCTTTTTACCATCATAATGTTACAATAACGTCCGGCCTCGGTTTTTTCAAGCATTCAGTAGAAAACTTGAAACGATTTATTCAAACAAAAACACTATAAGACACAATACAGAATCACAAAAAACTACGTCTCTTTCTAATATAACTCGAAATACACCTTCAACTGTCTCCCTAATATTAATCCCATCTGGTTCTAGCATTTTCATAACATTGCGAGATCCTTCGATTGGAATCTTGTAACAATAAGCTGTTCAAGTTGGTTTCACCTCTAGATACAGATACAGTACTAGATAAGGTATACACGTTAGTTAAATCAAAAAGGCCCAGTGTGGAAAGTAATTCTCTATCTTCAGAGAATATTGGTTATATAATCTTCTACTGTATGGATATCACAGATGGATTTCCAAAAATGTCTTGAGCTGAAGTCTCTGATGAACAATGAACATTTAGATAGTTATGAATATTTTGTATCAAATGAACCACTGTTTGAATTTTTATTGGTGACATTCTTGCAATAAATGATGTTTTATATATTTTGCGTCCACCCTGTATAGTCGGCTATGGTGCATCTGTATCTGATCGACCTTTGAATGAAAATAATTCTCAATCATTAGTATTTCCGGAGCTGTGTAGAAGACAATAAATGGAAAATCCCTTCTCTTTCAATTTGCAAGTTTTGGAAAAATACAGGAATCGTCTCGAGGTAAAATGTCAGGCATCATTCTTGTAACGAAATTTTGATTGGTGTACACATTGTTGGTAGGTGACAAGTATCAATTGTCAGCAATATGATAACTCATAATGTGTTCTGAATTGTGTTGGGATGTGTTAGGATTTCTCCAATTCTCGAAAATGGCGTCGTTTATTTTTTTCATCCTAATATTTTTTTTGATGTTTTAGAAAAAATATATGTACAAGACGGCAGAATAGCGCAGTGGTTTGGGTGCTAGTAATCAGTAAATCACAAGGTTGCTAGGATCGAATCCCCGGCAGAGAAAAGAATTTTCATTCGCAAAAAGGGTTATAAATTCTAATTTTCGTAGCCTCGGCCCGAGATGATTCCGCACGATTCGCTGTTGCGTTCCACTTAACAGGGCTACTCCTTAGGTTACGTATGGAGCTGGTAACAAAGCCTACACAGCACATACTTGGGCTGAAGGACCTCTTGTACTGTCGATGGCCAGTTGGTATGTACAGTCAGATGCAAAGAACATGTCGCAGTTGGATGATATTAGCGCTCTCATTGCAGTAGTGACTAGAAGTGCTATCACCGCCCATCTAACAGTCAAAGCCTTCTATCACAGTGTGAATTGATTAATAATGGTATTAGGATAGGATAAGATAGAATATGAGTCTTGCTGTTGAAATCAAATGGAAGTAGCTGTTATATCAGATATTCTGTTGGGACAAAACAACAGATTCTGGATAGACATGGCTGAATTTATCGTTCAGGGAAACTTTATCTGCTTTCCGTTTTATTTTGTCTATGGTTTCTCATTTCTGTCACCCTCATGACTCGACAACCAAATATCTGCCACCTAACAAAGGAAAAGGTAAATAAGATGCCGCACACCAGAATTTATTTTCATTAAATTTTTTCTTGGAACTCAAAGCTTCCATAATTTTTTAGTAGTCGTAGAAATTAGTATAGTACCTGATTCACCCATGTAAATTCTAGCAATCATCATACGCCCGTTGAATAACATATTTGTTGGATCTATTTGCGTGTTTTTTTCTTGCAGGGCCATGGTGAGAACTTTGATCAAAGAGAAAATAGCTACGGTTGGGGTGGGTTATCCGGCCACCCCTCTCACGCAGGGCCGGATCAGGATTTGTTTGTCAGCCGGCCACACCAAAGAACAACTAGATTACGCTTTAGAGGTTATCGAGAAGGTGGCAGACGAAATAGGCTTGAAGTATTCTCGGAAAGCCAGAGATCTAGCGCCAATCGTTTATGATGAAATCAAAATATATCAAGATGCATAATCATTGTCTTTAGATGATAGCTTGATATGTCGCTCTAGGAAATCTTGTTGTTTTTGTAAATTTTATAAAGCATTCGTATTTTTATGGCTTATTTATTTATTATGTTTACTTTTATTACACTGCAGAATATAGAAGTATACATACTGAAGTTTGTAATTTTATATTCCTGATGTTGTATTTCAGAATTTGAGGTTGAATCCATCACACCTAAAACTATCGTCTGGTTGTTAACTTATACTTGTATCTATGAAAATTGACCATATTCTCAAGGTAGAGACATTTCTCACTGTAAGGTTTGCTACAAACGTGTCAAATGTCAAAAGTCGGCATCTTTTTTTCCAAAATGGTTATTTATGTACCAAGGACGATACACTGTCTATTATAGTCGAGGTACCCGAGGCTAGCAATCATGCGAGACAATAGACAGTTTTTCGAAGAGGTGCATATTAAATTTTTTTGTCGACCTCAAACACTTACATTAACATTATGGTCCTATTCACACGTGCAATCTATCATATTCCGTGAATAATTGATTTGACACCAGCAAATAACGGCTGCTGTCAACTCACTCTCCGCGCGGACCAGGGTTGCCAGTTCGGTTTTGATTCCATCTGATTTTTCAAAGTTCAATAATTCAAAAATGGTTATGAATATCGATATGGATGTTCAGATAAATATGTTAGTGTTTCGATTTTACATCAAATGGTCAAAAAATATATGGGATGTTCCATTTGAAAATCTCGTGAAAAATCACTTCGAAAAGTTCCGAATTGAAAAATCATTTTCAGCCACCCTGTATCATTTGAGGGCCTGAAACATTTTCAGAAATGTCACTCATCTTTTCAATGAATGATATCAAGATTATGTTTTCTCAAATTTTATAATTGTGACAACAGTGATATTTTCGGTAGGCATCTGCAGATGACATTATTTCGAAGAAAAAATTCATAACTTCGATATGAACGAGATATAGTCAACGATATCATAGGAGTGGATGAAGGTCACAGGGATGCTTGAAAAAATATGCAAATATACAGGGCATTCCATTTAAAAAAATGATCCCGACCCACTAGATTATTTTTGGTGCGCCCTGTATATGCGGCAATAATTTCTAGTTATGGACCTTGTTGTCTCATCCACATTCGTTTCTGAATCAGGTTTCTAGCTATCATAGTTGTCGAGCAATCGAGCTCCGACGCACTAATGCCCCACCCTGTATATGTGAAAAAAGTAATTCATGAAAAGTGACATCATATCACCTGTTTCAACAGAGATGAAATTTCAAACTTTTTTCCCATTACAGAAAAAAATAATGTAAAATGCTTGTTAATTTCTGAGTGCTGGAATTTTTGTATAAGGCAATTATATGAATTTCATGTATAATTTTTTCTTTCACCTACTCAGTTCTCGAAGATAGATGGGAACCTATTCTAATAAAGATTCCACCTCAACTTCGAAAGTAGATAACGAGTAGCAATGGGGAAGACCACTGAGGGAAGACCACTGAGGGAAGAAATCCGTGCAAACCTCTTTCAATCGACGAATCATGATTTACATTTTATGTACAATCAATATTATGAGTTGAAGTTGAAGGGAATCGAATCTATATCGTTTTGAAATCAGCATATTTCATTCGATATTTCAAACAGCCAAATATGATGGAGGAGCCGTGACGTATTAGTCCCGAACTGTAGCTATCCCTCTCTGATACCTCGTCATTCTGCAGTGTTGCAGTGTAATTGGTCTGTTAAGGGCAATAGGCGTGTTGGGAATAAGACGTCGCACCAGTCACACCAATGAATTGATGACATTTCAAATGGCGCAGGAATTGTGTGTTTTGAAATGGATGTATACTAATTCATTTGTTTCATCGTCTTAGCATGAATGAAAAAATTCAAAATTAATTCACTGGTAGTTTTTCAGTATAGAGTTCACGATAATGTCATTTTAAAAAATCAGTGGTCTTCCCAATTGTATCAATACAAAATATAACATGTCAGCCATTAAATATAAAAACGAATGATTGTAAGCGCTATAAAATAGTAGCAGTCAGTATAAAAATAAAATCGGCTTCATTGTCTTTCATTATTGCAATATATCTCTCTACTGATATTTTTATTTATTCAAAAGAGGAGAGAAAATCCCAAAAAATCTAGTGAAAAGGAATAATGTAATTAATCACCATCAGATAATAATAAATCTCATCTAGATATTCAAAAATATATAATCCAATAATATTCTAGTTTCATGATGTCATCATCAATATATTAAATTTCACAATTTTTATGTCAATTGTATTTGAGCCAAAATGTTGACCAATTTTCATGGAGCCATGTAAGTCATTGTGACTTGTTCCTATAAGTCCCCATTAAATGCATTAGATAAATTGAATTTGAGCCAAATGTTTCCCAAATTCCATGAAGCCATGAAAGGCAGTATGGGCTGTCCACGTTTGAGAAATTCCATGTAGGTACTGATCAGTCTTATGATGAGATCCCTAAAAAAATACACAAACATTGAAGAAATCTAACATATACTTAGAAGAAGATAGATGCGTGAAATTCTAAATAGTTCAGCAGACTACCACGTCATTGTAATATCATTTAATGTAATATTTTGAAACGTCAGAGAATTATTTTAGTTCATCATTCAGCCTTAATTACAAATCGAGATAAATAACAACATATTGTTGTTTGTAGGTGCAACTCTTATTTGCTGCCAAGAGTCTGAAAAGTTATGCAATGAATATAACTTTTCAGGATGTCATATATTTTATCAATAATTTGGAAGTAAGCTCTCTTGAATCTTAATGACTGGTACCCAACGTTTTGAGAGGAAATATTGGGAATTATCATGTCTCTGGCATACACTCAGAACCAAAAAAAAAACAATTTGAGGTCTCATTACTCTCTTATTTTTGGTTCAATTTCCAATTTTCTTCACCAAACTGTAGATTAAATGACTAATTTTAACTTGCATATCCTGTATTTTATCAAATGTTGTCGTATTAGTTATTATACAGGATTAATTGAAAGGTTGTTGTTGAATAGTTTTCTTATATTTTGTTCATTTATTTGAGTGCACTGGTTTTCTAAAGCCAAATGAAAAACAAAATATTTATGCAAACTTCAAATGTAACTAAATCAACCTGAAAAATGTTCTATTCGAAAAGAATCAGCTTGATATTTTGTAACAAAGGGAGAAACTCAAAGTCATTACCACAATAGTTCATTAAGAGGAAAATGGGAGATAACGAGAAGAAAACAACTACTTTCCTGGCTACATGCCTCGCAGAACATTGAATTGCTGCTGAGTTGTACTTGAATTGTTGAATTGTTGGCTCTCATTAGTGCAGGGGTGTCCGCAGATGGCATTCATGACTGCCATCTGGTGCATAACTCCCAACATACGTCGGTTCATACTGTCAATAAGACGAATAGCATCTTAAGGAATATTGGGCCATTCCTCCGGCCATTCCAACTGAAGGACAACTATATTATTTGACATGACAATCACAACTGTTTTTTTCCTTTATTTATTTTTCTTTTCGTGATTTGATGGGGATTTGGATTGTTTTCAATTAGAAGCTCAGGATTGGCGAAAACTAATGGAAAATGGAAAATGATGTATTAAAAGTGTTATTAGAGTCCTTGTCTCCAACCTAGTTGAATTCAACGCCACCAAAACTCAAGCCTATATTTTCTCTAGAAAGGCGGAACTCAGTATGCCCGATATTGTAATGTCTGGCACCACCATCTCCACCAAGCAACACTCTTTCATGGGATAATCATGTCAGATCCATCGCAGAAGCTGCTTCACAAAAACTCGGATTCTTGTTCCGTGCGAAAAGCTACTTTACACCTCAACAGCTTCTCATGATCTACATATGGCGCTCAGCACCAAAACATACGCTGATGCTCTTAGATTCCATCCAGAGAAGAGCCATCCGCCTGGTGGGTGACGCCACACTCACTCACTCTTTGACATCATTGGATCACCGTAGAAAGGTCGGCGACCTTTCACTTTTCTATCGATACTTCCACGGGAAATGTGCTTCGGAAATCTCTGCTATCATTCCTTCACTAGCAATACCAGTCAGACGAACTAGACAGGCCCAGTCAGCACATCCTTTCGTTGTCAACCTCGAAAGATGTCGAACAGCACTTTATCAAAACTCCTTCATCCATAGAACGGCTAGGCTCTGGAATTCATTGCCTGAGGAAGTATTCCCAACAACATAATATAATCTTAAGAAGTTGAAAAAAACATCCAATACCTACCTCCTATCCCTATCCTCCCTAGGAATGCACGATGTTCTTTGAACATTATAGGGATTCCATTTCGTGTGCTCCAAGCGACAAAAAAAATTTAATTATGATGATATGGATAAAGTCATTAAGAAGAATTCTCTGTTGGTACTCAAGTTTCCTGAATGTTTGCACTAATTTCTTGAAATTCAGGATGGAAAAAAAAAAGTATAACTACCACTCGAAATTTGTTCAATTATTGTTGGTGTCAATAATGCAGCTATTCTTTCATTTTCATATTTTAAGCTGATTTAGATTAATTCTTCCATATTTTTTCTTAGGCAAATGGCAAACAGCTTTCAATGCCAATATTTTGTTATTAGTTTTTTTAGGTTATGCTGTCGCTGTCATTTCCAAAGCCACCAAAATCCGTCCATCTGTACATCGGTGGAATGGTTTGCAATTTCGGTTGACACCACAGTAATAAATGAACGCGTGGTTACGTCAAACTGGAATCCACCAAAGAATATATTAACGCAGTTGGTGAAAGAACGTCCCTTTTAACTACAGTTTGCTGAAAAAAACTTGGGAATTGACGCATCTGAGTTGTAGATCATCAGGTACCAAATAATAATCTCTGTGAATGATAATATGGAATAAGCACCTTTATCAAGTAGACATAATATATTGTCGTTAACCATACCATGCATATGCTTCTGAATCTCCTAACAGTTATTCGATGTGGGCTTGTAACTATTTAGTTCAAATTCTGTTCCAATAGCTTGTTTGGTTTCAGTTTCTTCTTCATTTTGTGTCTCTGGCTTATTCCATGGTTGTACCTCACCAGTACCAAAAACGATATAAAAAATTCCTGTCGACACATACACCGCACTGGTGATGTAGAAAACTATCGACCAAAGTGATCTATCTGTCTGAAAAAATTAAATAATTGATAAACATTGTGAGCATCATATGAGTAATGCAAACATTATACAAATTTCTTACAGGTCATGAAAGAACGGCCAAGTCAATTCAACATTTTTGTTGAATTGGGATCCTCTTATTGCTTAAATACAAGATCTAAGTATCTTCAAATCAAATGAATTGTCGAAGGTGATTTAAGAATGTATGTTTCAGTGTTTTACCTCTTCATATGCGGTGACACTTTTGACCATGTCCACGATCAGAGGACCAACAAGTGAGAAAATGTTGGATATGGAATTAGTGATCCCCATCAGAGTACCAGCATGTGTTGGGGACAAATCAATATGATTTATGTTGTAACCAGAATACACTGCCGAGTTGAAACCGACCCCCACTGTCAGGATAAATACGGTTAGATAGGGGGATTCTTCGACGAACGTCATGGTAACCAGGCTAATAGCAGGCATAAATAATCCTAAAAAATATACTTCAATGAATATTTTGAATACAGTAGTTTTCAATCTGGTTACCGTAGAAAAATGAGCTAAAATAATGAATACCGATAGATCATGAATAATTACACGTCGCCAGTAAATTAACGTTCCACCAAAAAGTATCCAATAGTTTGAGATACGTTTATGCTATAACTACTTGTCCGATTTGGACGATTTTTGTTTTGAATGACAGGTTATCTCCTTCCGAATATTGGCGAGATGTTATTATACGAATACAGTTTGTATTCGCATAATAACCTCTCTTTTTTCATGAAATTTGAAATACCCTGTGGAGTGTAATGGTTACATTATCAAGTTAGAATTGAAATTACACTTATGCCTTATCTTTTTCCACCATTCATTCATTTTATCGAGATCAATCAGTATTATAAGCACATACTAAGGAGGCATTTCTTCGACTGATCGCACGGAACTTGTGATCATAAATGGAAGCCTTACACAGCTAAATGGTACATATTGGAGATTTTAAAACCACATAAATAGTGCAATGATTTTTGTTGATTTAAGATAATGCAAGGCCTCACATCGCCTGTGTTGTGAGAAATTATCTAGAGGAAGTCGGTATCGCTACCATGGCATGGCCAGCTCGGAGACCGGATTTTAATCCCATTTAATATATCTTGGACATTCTTGGGAGAAGATTACGAGAAGAACGTAACTTGAATACTTTGGAAGACGTTGGGCAGACACTGATTCAAATTTGGGAGGACCTGGGTGAAATTGACTTAAGGTGTCTCATTTTAAGTATGGTCCGTCTTTGCCGAAAAGTTATTCGTGGCTGAGATGGAAATACTCGCTACTGACCCTTTCGTTCAACTTGTGACTTCGGATTATGTTTCGTTTTTTCGTTGTTGAATTTGGATATTAATTTTCCATAAAATCATATTATACGCTGAAATGGCATTTCTCGAGTAATAGGAAAGATAATGGAGTGAATTCAAAAAAGAAATGTTGAAGAAAGATAAGGCTGAAGTTTCATTTCAATTATAACTTGATAGTATAACTATCACCCTCTACAGGGTATTACAAAATTCATGAAGAAAATACGCTATAACTGTATCGATTAAAAAAAAGTTTTTATGCGAATAACTATCACCCTCTACATTGTATTTACAAAGTTCATGAAAAAAATACGCTATAATTGTATCTATTGTATTTATTGAAAAGAAGTTTTTATGCGAATACAGTTTGCCAATGTTCAGAAGGAGATAACATGTCATTCAAAACAGAAAACGTCCAAATCAAACAAGTTGTATTGACGAAAACTTTTGGCTACTTTTGGTGAAGTGTTAATTTCTTGGCGAAGTGTACATAAGGTAGGTATTTTGGGGAAGCAGTATCCGAATATACAGGGTGATTCAAAATTCGATGTAAATATTTTAAGGACATATTATTGGGATCAAAATAAGACTTTTTCGTTATATAAACATGTATCCTGAAATTCCCCCCTCCCACTCCAAGCTACAGCCACTATAAGTTATTAGGTAAAGAAAAAAGATATTCTGAAATTGTGACTAAAATAACGGATCAAATCTTCTGAAAATTAGCATGCCCCTGTCCTTTTAGACACTCCATTTCATTCTTTCTTCAAAAATAATTTAAGCGCAGTTTTTTTGGGGGAAGGGGGTCCTCACTTTTATTGGCCGAAATGGGGTGCATTTTAGGACACATGTTTATATCAAGAAAAAGTCTAATTTTGATCCCAACAATACGTCCTTGAAATATTTACATCGATTTTGAATTACCCTGTATAAAATGAAAAATAAAATAGATATACAAGGTGTTTCATAATTGAATGTCAATATTTGATGACGCGATTCTTGGGCCTATTCTAAGGAGATAGTTTTATATGAACGTATGACCTAAACGTCCTAACTTTTGAGATACAGGGTGGTAAAGTTCTCAAAAATTAATATAGCCTACTACAATGAAAAGTTATAATTCCAAAATACCAAATACGAATACGAAGTTCATAAACTATGAATTGTATTTCTGAAATTTCATCTAAAAAATTAAATCTATTTCTCTGCATTGTGATATTTTCATATTAATGATATTGCTATCACTAAAGCTTCTTATTTTTTCGAGCGAAAACCGTGCATTAGGTTGAATAAATTTGGTGATCAAATTTGCTTAGAAATGATTGGAAATTTTAGGAATGATGCCAATTTCGAGATCAATCAGTGGGGTACCATCAATGTCTGCCAAAATAAGTATGTGAAATTCCATACGAACGCCACTGATGGCAATAAAAAAAATCTGGTACTCTAACTGATGCCTCTTGATACATAGTACATGTATGCCAAATTTCATCAGAATATCTGAAGTGGTATTATAGATATTAATAAAAAACTATTAATTTTTGAGTACTTCACCACCATGTGTCTAAAAAAGTTAGGACGTTTAGGTAATACGTTCATATGAAACTTTCTTCTTAGAATGGGCCCAAGAATTGCCTCCCCAAATATTGTCATCCAATTATGGAACACCCTGTATAAAGTGAAGCTAGACTTCTTTTTTCAAACATTTATAGGTAGTTCCACCATCTCATTCGAAATTACCACACTTGTTTGTCAAAACATTTTAATTGTTGTTGAAATTCAAGATGGATAGGTTACGTGATATGAAAGTCTTAAAATTGTGGACATTTTGACCCTTAATTTCCAGTTTCAATGGTATGTATCGCATGTACCTATATATTTCTAGAACAAATATAATTGCCGCTTACCTATGCTGTTAAATATTTTTCTGCTTGTTCCAACTCTGATTTTTCTTACTATCAGGTAGTCAGCGATTGGACTCATGACTAGACTTAGTAGCCACATTGCCAAGTATGGCAAGGATGAAAGAGTGCTGTTCTGAAAAAAATGTAAGTAATATGTTTTATTTCTGACTGGTATATTATAAGCTTATATCATCTTAGTTACACTATCAATTAGGAGGGTCATAACTCCCTTGGGATGTTATAGATGCTATAATTCCCTCTAGCTAAAATTAAATAAGAAATGCATAGCAACAACCACGCAATAACGTAGCAATAAGGAATCTCCTATTCGCGGTAGTCAAGATCATCATCTGACGTTCTGATGACATTGAAACTATACGGAAAAACATGTCTAACTTCCAATCGGGAAGGCATCTAATGAATGAAATCAGTCAGAAATAAAATTATCTATGTATCACGGGAATTATAGAGCCTTAATAACCTCTGGCAATTGCTGTCCCTCGGGCCAGAGGCCCTCGGGACGCAAACTTTGCCATCGGTAATTAAGGCCCTCATAATTCCCTTAATACATAAATAACTATTTCGTATCCACACAAATTTTACTCAAGGCCGAGAATAAATTCTTTGGAAATCTCATAGTTTTTCCGCTAAACTAGTATATTTAAAATATCTTAAATTGCAAGAAATATGTGAGTATAAACAAGTGATCTATATAAAATGCGAATAATTATTTAGTGGGTTATCCCCAGCTTAAAAAATAAGAATGAGGTTGAATAAAAAAAAATTAAATAAAAAAAATACATTCATCATTTTGAAGCAGTGCCAAATTTAATAAATATTATAAATTTACTCGAATCGATCTGAAACTGATACTCTCTCAAATTCAGACTAATAGAACGTGTATTTTTCGCACTCTTGAATAGATCACCCTGTATATGAAAATTTTTGCTTCTCCCGAAATATTTCTGTTTATCTGATCCAAATAATATTTGCTGTTCACAGGAGGTCAGTAATTGGTTGACTTGATATCATCACTCTTCTGAACGATAAAAATATGATCAATCTTACCGAAGAAAGCTTAAATTTCAATACATTCTGCATATACGAAGGTATTTCAGTGAGCAGAGTCCAAAATCCTAGGTTTTGTCCACAGTGAGCGATCAAAATAGCCCAAAATGGCAATGATGTTAAAATTGAGATCCAAGGTGTGCTAATATTCTGAAAGAAAGAAATTGGTTCATGTAATATAGTCGTTAGTATATTGAAACGAATCAATAGCTAAAATTCAACTCGTATATCTTTTCGACCTATAAAGTCGATATTATCAATTGTCGGTGAATATGGGAGACATTCTAATATATTGAGTTCAAAAATCATTTGCTTCCCTATGTTGAAAACTGGAGCATATAAGTGAAAATTTATATTTTTCCAAAACACCTATATCCTTTTTGGATGTATGACAAATTCATATTCATCATACAGGACGTGGAAAGAAATTCTGAATTGAGGAATCCTAATCACGAATCTGCGATTGAAGATCTATAAAAATAACAAGCTTCCATCGTTCAAGTTTGAACCCCTTGATTGGGTGAAAGTATTGAAAAGGAATATTCTCAGATAAATTATGAACATGAAAAAATGGATACGTACACATGAAGAAATACATTGAGAAATTGCGTTCTCTAGAATAGTGATAGAAATATCAATTCTTTCTCGGTTTATTCAACAGAAAACAACTACTCCTGGCTATATGCCACGGCGAACATTGAATTATATCTATTGAACACACACGATAAGAATTTGAACACAAAATCTTCTAAAGTTGAGAATTTGCATTCTCCTTCAGATAAAAATATGTATCTGCACATATCATTCTGAATATTCAACAGGAAAAAACTACTTTCCTGGCTATTTGTCACATCGACCATTGAAAATGAAATTGACACATCGCACCTAACCAACAAAACAGAGTCATCTATCAACATACCTATGATAATTGGGCAACAGAAAACAACTACTTTCCTGGCTATATGCCACGACGACCATTGAATTATATCTACTGAATACACACGATAAGAATTTGGACACAAAATCTTCTAAAGTTGAGAATTTGCATTCTCCTTCAGATAAAAATATGTATCTGCACATATCATTCTGAATATTCAACAGGAAACAACTACTTTCCTGGCAATTTGCCACATCGAACATTGAACATGAAATTGACACATCGCACCTAACCAACAAAACAGTCATCTATCAACATGTCTATGAAAATTGTGCAGTCTCTCGCTTCACGCATACGTGAGTAATGAGAAGCTCACTGAACTGACATTGTTTTGTGTACAATATTCGTCACTTACAATAGTAGTCGTAGGAAAATAACTATTATTCATTATTTATAATAAATATTTATTTATTTAGTATTCTTACTTTTCTGTCATCGTCAGATGGTATCCCACACTCGATATATTTTCTTTCTACTGGAGTTATACTTTTATGCTTTGAGGGACTATCAGAGCCAACAATGAACCAAGTTATGGCCCAGAGTATTCCTAAACCGCCATATAGATAGAAAACTAGGGGCCATCCATAGGAAGAGTTCGATATGAAACCAGCAATTGGCATCGATATAACTGTTCCTAGAGGACCTCCTGAAAAGGTATGTAATAGATAGTTATGTGTTATAAGGATTTTGAGTTATGGACTTGTTTCAATTCAATGAAACAAACAGTACCTATACTACCTCAAACAGTTTTATCCTCAGACCTCCGTATATTTGGCAGTAAATATCACTGATATGAATGTGAGTGTTCAATTCACACATTCTGCACTCGCTTCTTTTCATTGCCACCTACTAATTAGGTCCACAGCTTTTATAGTCAATAAATAGGGCAGAATATTGGTAAGTAATGAAACTTGATGAAATTTAAACTAGTTTGTGAAGAAACACTCTGTCAACAACAGGGTGAACATGAAAATTCATGATATCAAATTATTAAAAATATTGCCACACTTTTACAAGCCGAATCAATGAAAAATATACAAAAAAATTGAAAATTATCTAAATTCAAGGCTAATACTCAAAATATCGTATAAGTGTTATATATTTTTGAAAATTGCAAAGCATCAATGTTTGAAATATGGAAAAAGATACAGGGTGTTCCATTAAAAAAACATATCTTTGGGTTACTTATATCTAAATTTATTATTATTTTGAAAATCTAACTACGCCAATGGATTTCACACGAAAAACTGTATAACTGACAGTTTTTACTTTTCCTATTAGTTGAAAGATAGCTGAAATATAGGGGGGACCCCAAAATGCAACATTTTCGATTTCACCCTGTATCTTGAAAACAAAGTGGTAGTTTGGTGGCCAAAGACACAACAGGCTGGAATGATTCAAAGGCTCAGTGCCATTCAAAAAGGCAAGATTGCCTGAGCGCCATGAAAACCACTCCAAGAGCCGCTATAGAGGTCCTCTTGAATTTGCAACCACTACAAATATACATTCAAAGGGGAGCCAGAACAGGCGTGAGTAGATTGTCCAGGAGTCAAGCACCCATAAGCAACACGCACGGTAAAGACTACAGAAAGCTATATGAAGAGTTGGAAAGCGACCCCATCATGGGAATGCCAACAGATGGCATAATTCCAAAATATAGCTTTGAAAAAAGTTTTGAAATAAGCCTAACGGACAGAGAGGCATGGAAGGAAGGACCTCCTATCAATGCAGACATTGCTGTCTATACGGTCGGCTCCAAAACCGAGGAAGGGTCAGGAGCTGGTATTTATGTGGCCAAGCCAAAGACAAGAATCTCACTGAGCTTAGGCAAATACGCGACGGTGTTCCAGACAACAGATATTGCAATACATCATTGCGTAAAAGAATTGATGAGGCAAGAGTTAAAAGGGAAAACCATTGCAATCTATTCGGATAGCCAGGCAGTTAACTCAATGCAAGTTAACTGAAAGCTAGTATGGGACTGCTCAGAATCCCTAAATGAACTAGGCAGTCAGAACAGACTGACTCTAGCATGGGTACCAGCACATACAGGGTACGAGGGCAATGAAGAGGCAGACTCACTTGCCCGACCAGGAGCAAACAAAGCTCTGAATGGCCCAGAACCATTTTGTGGCATTGCGAAATCTCAAGAATGGTGGAACAACTCGCCAGGAATGAGACAGGAAAAAGAGTTTATTAAAAAACCAACGCCAACGCCAACATTCACAGAATATCTACTGAGTCAGAAACGAAGTACAACTAGAATACTAGTGGGCATTGTAGGATCAACAAACACATGAGTACGATAGGTCTGACTAAAGAACTGCTGTACAGGTTCTGTCAGGAAGAGGAGGAAACAGTAGTACACATACTTTGCCACTGTGAGGGCTTGTCAAGACCAAGGTTCCTTACGCTGGGTGAGGAAAAACCAAGAGCCCAAAGTTATACAGGGGATAAGAAAGCTAGCCGATGGAGTCTCATAGATTTTGAGGGCAGACACAATAGATCTGAAAGGGTCGTGGTGTGGACGCAGATAGCCCGAAGGCCCCACTCTAAATCTAATCTAATCTGATACTCACCTGCATAGGTAAAACTGCCGATTTTAGCCCGATCTTGCAACGGCGTCCAAGCGCCAATCAGATTGTGCACGCAAGGAAAAATGAAGCCCTGAGTCAATCCGGTGAGAATCCTGCACGCTATGACGCCCCCGTATCCCAATAGGGATCCAAACAGGGGCAGCAGACAGCAGAACAGCGACCCTATCAGGGCCGCCCAGCCGACGAACTGTTTGGGGCCGTAGTTTTTGGCCAGTTGACCCGCCCCTATTTGCAGCCAGATGTAGCCCCAGAAGAAGGAGGATAGGATGAGGTTCTTCTTGCTTGTCCATTCTGGATATGTCTGGGGTAAGATTTTATTGATTAGATTCATAATAAATATGATTATTACTTGTATTTACTATACATTTTGATTACACCGGATGATATATGATGAATCATGTCGAGTGAAATTGCTAACTGCTCTGATCTCAACCGTACAGGGTGTCACACTTGAATGTGTCACCTCCCTTTAGTCTCAACATACACTCATCGGCAAAAAAACCGGCCAGCAAAAAATGTTTCAAATCGATCGCCCTGTAACTTTTTCAATTCTTGTCCGATTCTGGTGGAATTTCGACTACATCGTGAATTTATGTTTTTAAATGTTAACCCTAACCTTAGTTTCCAACAAAAGCTGATGGCTTGATCATTATACAGGGAAAAACAAGAGTTACTATTTCACGCGCTTGAACTAAGCTTCAACATGTTTTGAATTGAAGTGTGATGCCTTCCCAATACAATGGTTTATGATTCACGTCGATATCTTCTTTTTGAGGGAAGATACAGGTGTTTTGAGAAAGTATGCAATATTTTTAATTTCTATTAACCATAAGCCGTTTTTTTTCTCGGTGAGTGTATTTTGATTATTCAACAACTTTTCTGAAATAATTTTTCACGAATTTTTCGAATCTGTGCGCACTTTTTCTTTATATCTACAAAATATAATAGGGTGGCTCAGATAAAACATTTTTTTTTTTCAATGAAATGATCTAAATTTCATTCGATAATAATATATGAATGATATACATTTTTGAGTGTGAGATCGTTGGGGCATCTCATAAACAAATCTCTTTACTGCGAATAAATAAACAAACATTGACATTGCTGACATGACAAATCTCCAGATCACATGCCATTAGTCTTTTTCATTTATGACAATTGATCGTTGTCGAGTAATTTTTAAATCTGATAAAATTATGAACAATAGCAGAAGTAATGGTATATCTATTTTGAACATAGAGATGAAAAAGTGCAATAACGAACGCCAGAGGAACATGTTTTTTGGGTTCTAGGTGAAATGATTTTAAATTAATATCAAGATTTCTCCTCAGTGGCAAGAACTTCTTCACATATGGCAACATTTACTATTTTCGAATTGAACAATGTCATTTTTCTTCAATCCAATAATAATCACAATGAGAGAGAAACTCAAAGTCATTACCACATACATACATAGATAACGAGAGAAAAACAACTACTTTCCTGGCTATATGCCACGCAGAACATTGCATTACATCCTCCCGAAAGCTATGCGATAGTTCGTATAAACGAATAAAATCGCAAGTGTTTCCTTCCTAAACGCTGAGCTGCGCTTAAGTGGTTCAGGAACGCTGACTACCTGCAGACCGGTTTCGAGCTCTTGGCTCTCATCAGTACAGGACTGTCCCAGATAGCTTCTTGACCGCTATCTGGTGCGAACCTGACTCAACATAAACACATCTCAGTATTTATACTATACGAGGCGTTCGTCGTCTGCGAAATGAAAACGCGAACGCCGAACGCCACCTGGCAAGGAAAGAAACACTCCAAAACAAAATCCCATTTCAGGCGAAATGGGTGTGGCTGGTTGCCCGACTGGCGTATTTTCAACTAGGGAAAAGGCCGAATACTCAAAGTGGAATGCAATGGTCACAATGAGAGAGAAACTCAAAGTCGTTTATACGAACTATCGCATAGATTTCGGGAGGATGGTAATGCAATGTTCTGCGTGGCATATAGCCAGGAAAGTAGTTGTTTTTCTCTCGTTATCTACCATTGTCGTTCATTTTATGAACTAGTATGTGGTAATGACTTTGAGTTTCTCTCTCATTGTGACCATTGCATTCCACTTTGAGTATTCGGCCTTTTCCCTAGTTGCCAATAATAATCGGTAACCGAGATATAATTTTATATAATAATATATGATGTATAGATATCTCATCATTATGGGGATAGTATGACTGGTATGATTATATGAAACAAATTATTTTCATGGTTGTTACATTAGAGAACTACATTATATGCGATCGATGAAAAAAACTTACTGGTATTGACTCGAATGGAGGATCATCTGTTATCATAGCATAAATTGCAACACTCAGTATGGAACGTATTCCATAGGCTAAATTCAAAATACCGAAGAGTAGGGCATATTGCAAATGACGTGTACCAAAGTAAGATTCTAAAAACAAAAAAAATATTCAAATTAAAATATTACAATTATTTCAATATACCTACAAAACAAAAATGATATTCATCGACTTCAATGTTGTTCAACAATTTTGTTCGATAATAACCTTGGATATTCGTATAATGAAATATTGTTACCTATATATATATTTAGTTTCAATGATTTTTAGTTAATATATCGGTAATGATAGTCATCTAATTATAATGAGAGTAATTTTTTTCATTCTTCCCAATATAAAACGAACAGGAATTAATTGACTACGTCATATATTTACTTTTTATAATCTTCACACTTTCTAATTCAAATATGTATATTCCATTTCCACCATCTTTTGAAAATTATTTATCTTTCAAATTATTTTATCATCAGAATTCCAATGGTATACGACCTGATCTGTATACGTGGCTAAAAATCGAAGAATCATATCATTTTTAAATAACATATGAATAGTCCAAAACTACCTACATCAATATTTTGATCTATGTCGAAATATGGAAAAGGGAAACTGATAGAAAAAACTCGGTATAATCAAACTAAAACTTACCAGGTTTCTCAACCTGTTGCACTGTTTCACTCATCGCCTGCAGAGTTTGGAGAAATCAATGATATTTTCTACTATTAGGTTTTCTGTTGATTATAACATTATAACTTTATCGGAACTTATCAACACGCTAATTAAAAATACATGAAAATTACAAAACTGCCTCAGATAAAACTAAATAATATACGTCTTTAGTGAAAGTACTATAGATGTGGCATTATGTCATCTGACATGCAGATATCTGAACAGAGAAATCAAGAAATGGAAATTCTCCACCATCAAAGGTATTCCCAATGAATCGATAACAGAACAGAACGAGTAAACAACAATTTAAAATTATAGAACGTCTCAACAAACATTATAGGAAGGAGAAAATATAGCATGTTAGCTTATATTTGACAAGCTTCAGACGCGGCTTCAGATGTTTATTGAAATTGTCAGAATTAAATTGAAATGGGGCGGGAGTATAACACACGTTTTATAGGTGAAATTGGCCTCCTATCGAATTGGCTGAAATTTTGATATGTTATAAGTTCAAGGCATTCTGAACAAAATGCACAAATACCAAACTGATCCAATGACTAGTTTTGACGCTAGAGGCCGCTGAAGTCTAGATGTTGATTTTCTTGCTCCTGATAAATAATGCTTTTCGGGCTATTATTTCATTATTTCTTGATAGGATAAGTTACTACGAGGAGTTTTCTCCAAAATTGTTGTTGTTGGTCAAGAATCATGCAGTGATGTGTCCAGCAATTATGGGTGAGATTAAATATGATAAATTTAATAACTCATTCAGTTTTTTCGTATTTCATGTTCACCTTGTGAATAATGAGGAGATGCACAACGTTATTGACTTGTTCTGTATCAGTAGTATAGTAGGAATCAGTATTCATTAGTATCTCTAGAGGAATAAATATTCCTTGTAACTTCAAACTTCTTAGGTGAAGAATACTCTGATTATAGTATATATTTTTTCAAACGCATATGTCACTATATTTCAATGATCTCGCCATCTATTATCGCACTATATTCTTTCGAAAATGATCGATTGATCATGGTGAGTTCTCAGGATTGCAGGTATTGAATAGTTGGTGAACTTTGTTACCGGTGCTGATTTATTGATGCCATTCGAATTGTTATAAATAAGTTATATGTATGAAATTTTGAATATCCTTGACAAATGGCAGATTAATACTATGAGTAACTTCATTGCTGTGACTTGCACAAAAAAATCAATTATATTTACCCTTCCTTATAAATGCAATAAGTTCCTAGGTGAGTTTTGGAAGCGATGTCATAGATCCTCTACACAACAGGTTTTCAATAATTGTTGTCTATTTATTCTCGATATAACTTTATTTATATACTCATAGATACCGATAAAATATTAATGGCTCTGCAATCCTGAATAGTACGATTTTTGAGGGCGTGATCTCTCAAATATGATATGCGTTTGGAAAAGCAACTCTGTTGAATACCGACTGGCTGTTAATGAAAAACAAAGAAACATGAATGATAATCAATATCATAATTATTATTATTGATTTGAATTCACAATATTCCACGACTCTGCGGCCTCCGACGCCACGCATAATTTTTGCTTTTTCGAATGTTCTTACGTTTATATATTGTCATGCTTAGCATAGAATAAATTGCCAACAAAGATGATAGCTTCATTTTTACACAGAGCTCTTGGAAATCATCTTCGATTTCACTTCCGTCTACATTTCGCATACATTTTTAACCCTCCAGTGGTGACGTGGCTTTACGAAACATGAGTTGTGACGTCGGTCTGAGAGACATCAAATTTATTTTGTGATAAAAAATATATACAATCAAAATTGAGTCAGTTTATATGATTCTGCGCGAAGGAAACATAATTGGAAATCAGATTATATTATTAAAACAATACAATTCGATTCAAGATCCTCTTTATCCGTCATACATGTTTTCATGGGATGTAGAAGTCTTCGTTTTTCTGCTCCTAATATGGATGATTTCTGTTAGAAATAATATTTTATTCGTATGAAAATATATGAAATGAACTAAAAAAAGAAATATCTAAGTAGCAGATTTGTTACTTCACTGGTGACGTCGGTCTGATATTTTTTTCCGAAAATTCTGTTCTTATAGTTTGACATTTCTCAGTGTACATTTGTAACGCGAAATAAGAACCTTTACGAAACATAATATTTTCAGAGATAGGTTCAGGAGGATTTAGGATTTAGGAGTTATTGTTTGGCATGTCGCATATGTTTGTTATTGTGTTCTGACATCAAAACGTTAGATTACATTATATTCACGCAATCTGGGAATCGAGGAGTATTTTCTATTGTTCAAAGATATTAGTACTGATTGAACGAGGATTCATCGATATACAGGGTGAATCTGAAAGTGAGGTTTTTTTATAGGGCTGTGTCAAGTCTCGTTTGACGAGGCACATACGTTCAGTATGAAGTCTGACCATCAGTCTGACCAACCAGCTCTTTGGGTATATCTGGCACGTTTCAAACCTGCCCACACAGTTACCACGTTAACTTGTGATGGGAGTTGAGTCAGCCATTGACCATTCTGGATGACTTGACCTAATGCTTCATTTCCCTCCTAAAATTTTTTGGTTCTCTTCAAAACGAAAATAGGTTGAAAATATTGAATTAGGTTTTTGATTAATTTTTCTGATGAAATGATGCAACGTAGGGTATCTATGCTGGACTAATAACAGCTTTATTTACGTTTTTTCGAGAAAAATAAACAAAAGGTTTCATAGTTGGAGTCTTCTCCTTGGAGTCTACTTGTACCTCCGTTATCTTAAATATTTTTCCGTCGACCTCGTATTAACGACCAAGTTTAATGTATGTGAAATCGTTCATTAATGACCCCTATTAATGGACGATTTGTCTATTAATGCACGATTGTTTTATAGGCAACCAAACATACACCGCGTGCATTCATTGTTTATGCTATAACTAGCGGAATCTGCATTTAAATCGAAAATATGGATTTCATCGACGATTTTCCATTAACGGGTTCGCCTTTCCAAGTTTCTGACACGATTTTAATCCCTGTTTTCTAACACAAGGAATTTATTTCCTATGTTGATCATTTCGACAAATGTCAAATGACACTAATGTCAGTATAACAAGGCTACTGGGTGATTCTTAGCAGTTTCCGGATGGATGATGAATTCGCGAACCAAGTTTTCTTCATTGCAGGAGAAATGAGAAATATAGTCGACGGAAAAATTTTGTAACCAACTTGTATATTAAAAGGCGATTAATGATCTCGAACATTAACGCACTCGCTTCCCTCGCACGTTAAAATATCTCGATCATTAATCGCCCTCATTAATACACTAGTTGGTTAAATAACTATTTCCGTCGACCTCGTATTAACGACTAAGTTTAATGTATATGAAATCGTTCATTAATGACCCCTATTAATGAACGATTTGTCTATTAATACACGATTGTTTCATAGGCAACCAAACATACACCGCGTGCATTCATTGTATATGCTATAACTTACGGAATCTGCATTTAAATCGAAAATATGGATTTCATCGACGATTTTCCGTTAACAGGTTCGCCTTTCCAAGTTTCTGACATGATATTAATCCCTGTTTTTTAACACAAGAAATTTATTTCCTATGTTGATCATTTCGACAAATGTCAAATATGTCTAATGTCAGTAACGGGGCTATACTGGGTGATTCTTAGCAGTTTCCGGAAGGATGATGATTTGGCGAACCAAGTTTTCTTCATTGCAGGAGAAATGAGAAATATAGTCGACGGAAAAGTTTTGTAACCAACTTGTATATTAAAAGGCGATTAATGATCTCGAACATTAACGCACTCGCTTCGCTCGCACGTTAAAATATCTCGATCATTAATCGCCCTCATTAATATACTAGTTGGTTAAATAACTATTATCTGATGGCATGTCATAATGACAACGTTATGTCACTCAATTTTGATGACATAAGGAAGCTCATTATGGTACTAAGTAATGAAATTCTATAAGGAAAACATGTAATGGTTTGATCAAAAAAGTTTATTCAAAATGCATAACTATGTACAAAACTATTTATTATAAATGGTAAAAGAACAATTACTACAATTTGTAATATTAATATAATGGCAAAGCACAGCTCACTCACCTACTAATATTTGAAACTACACAATACTTACTCCTTTAAAAATAGTTGTCATTGTGACATGTCGAAAATGCAGTTTTTAATTTTTCGAAAATGTATTGATATAAATGCCATTAGATAAAATTTTGTATGTAATACGAATCATAAACAATCATTATGGCACACGCCGTGTTATCGGACATAACATTCACGACTTGTACCATAATGATCGTCTTTATGATCCTTATTACATAAATAACTATTATGTGAACAATTTTTTCTCAAGCAACTTATTTTGGTGAGATATATGTCCTATTAAAAAAAAAATCACTTTCAGATGTAGATACTTCAAGCCATAAAGTCATCAATAAAATCATAATGGACCGATAACCTATCTCCATTTGAGATGTGAAGTGAACAGATATAAAGTTGTTATAAGTACAGTGTGTCCAGTTTTCGATGTTCTTGCATGATATCTCAGTTATCTCTCGAGATAGAACCTTGCGGTTTTCGCGGTCCTGTGCCACTTTTTTGTGAAACTCAAGATGGCCTAATCATGTTTTGCTTAACCGTTTCCGTGTATGAGATACAGGGAGTTATTTTAAATTTATACATTTTGGACCCCCGCTATATCTAAGAAGTTTCTTAGCAAACATGTCAAATTGAAAACTCATCCCATAGAGAGTTCAACGTAGGATCCAGTGGCGCACTCAAAATTTTTTGTCGGGGTATGGTTTCGGAGATACGACTCAAAATACTCCAAAATCACTAAAACATTGAATTTTAATAGTGGGCTATGGATTTTTTATATAAAAAAGTTCCAATTGGAAGAATATTTCTTTTGATTTTTCCATGAAGAGGATGAAAACGATACCAACACTAACTTACTAAAAAAACACAAAAATTAGATACGCAATAGCAACAAATGAAT